TGGTTGAGATCCGAAGGAGAGAAAGTAGGGAAGCCGACTTTTGGGGGGGTGTTTTGGGGGGGCTTCCTAAGAACAACACACCCTCGCTGGACCCACCGCAGCTCTCAGCATCCCAGAGCCCTGTAAGGACCCCCCCCCGAATAGTACCTTATACTGCTAGTGGGCCATTCTTAGGAACCCTCAAGAAAATCTACTCTTTGGATCCTCCCAGGGGTCTGGGATCCTCGCAAGGCAACAAAGCAGCGGCATCTCCAAAGCCACCTCCCCGGCGCGACGTGTGTCGAGATGTTAAGATGCAGCTCTGTGTTGTGTTCTTTCGACCTCGATATAGTCGCTCTGAACTGCCGGGGCACAATATGCGGTTCTCTCCGGGTCGGTCTTGCTCGCCAGGCGGCCAAGTCGAAGCAGCCGGAGCCTGCGCACAAGTGCGCCCGATGCAAAGTTTGGGGTTCATAGGTTCCCATTGACGTCTGCGAACGTATGTCTAAAGGAAGGTATGTATTAAAGGACCATGTAACTACCCTACGACTAAGGGTGGGAGGCCTGTCCCGGGATCTTCTGGCTACTGTAAGTGCCTGTTATATTTGTAGAGATGTGATGCCGTCCCGTCCCAAATCCCATTCTAGCATTCAGCATTTTCCACTTTCCTCCCATACGCTGATTCGCGAAGGCCGCAAAGGCCGAACGCCTCGAACCACTTCTAGCCTAAAAGGGACTTAAACTAAAGTCGCTAACCCTTGCACGCTGAATTACCCAGGATCCGCAACTGGAGCTGGTTCCGATAGGAGCGCATAATAAATAAATCAAGATTCCATGGTACTATCGCAAAGAACCTCGCAGGTTCTTCGTCAGCCACAACTGGAAGCGGTTGGTGGAGAGACGCCCCGAGCTGGCGCCGAAGGCACCTCCAATACCTGGGCGCAGAGAGTTATCCGGAGTTCAGGGTTTAGCGCTTAGGGCTTATATCCCCCTGTGTAATTAATCCCTTCATACGTAGAATACCCAAAGCAAATACTGAAAAACCCATAAGTCGGCTACACGTGAGACTTCGGGGTCTTGGGGATCTAGCAGCCCTTCATCATCAAGTAGATTCTTCATATTACTAGTAAGGTTTTGTGTTCATGGCAGGGAAAACCAGATCGCCGGGAATTCGGGGCTTACTGTTGTGATATGACAGCCGCGTCATTGGCTTTAGACTCTTCGGAACACAAGATGGCAGAGCCCGTGCAGTATTGACGTAGATGTCGAAATACCAGGCTTCAGCGTGTCGTCCAAGGAGCATCTCCAGAGTCCAGAGCAAGCTTAGCAAGCTTCTACATTTCTACAGGTCAGGACCACCAGAATTTCCACATTCATGCTTCTGACCTCACCACGAAATCAGCTTCCAGTAGCAGTGTGTGTCAACACAGGCCTGAGACTGTACTCTTCCTCCCCTCTGCTTATCATCGCTGTATTTAGCCACGTATTGAGAAGAGCCCTGTACCCTCAACCTGCTGACAGACACTCTTGCTACTCGTCTTCAACCCTAAACATCCCTAAACCCTATAAACCCTATAACCCGTTTAGAAGCCCGCCTTTCCCTGGTGGTCCCGAGGCACGAGAAGCAGCGGCCCCCAGGCGCTGCTTTCGGATTCTGGGATCTTTGGGCTCTTGGAGTTTAGGCTTTAGGGTCTCGTGTTTAGGCTGAGGTTCATCTACCCAAGCAGACCGAATCAAGCTTTGCCATGGTTTATAGGGTTTAAAGGGAGGGGGGTTCAAAGAGGCTACGTAACCCAAGGTTCCCTAGTACTCCCTACTACTCAACCCCCTCCCTAAACCCTAAACCCCAAACCCCCTCCCTTAACAAGCCTATGAATGGTGCGTCCACGTCATTGAGGGTTTTAGGGTTTGCCACAGTACAATGAAAGTCTGCCGAAGGTGGCATCGTCGGAAGCAACTCGCCCTGATTGCAAAATTCGACAGCTTCCAGGCCACCCGGGTGTGCGACAAATGCTTCGGCCTCAGGGTCGTCTTTCTCTCCCATCATGCTCTAAGCCCGTGATCTTGCAACGCATTGGGCTCCTTGCAAGTCTCTCTCCCTCTCTCTCTCTCTCTCTTCTAAGAAGCTACCACAAAAGTAGTGATATGAAAGCGTTGAAGGCGTGGTTGCTTATGTGACATCGCATCCTTGGATCAGTCTTGGAATTGTGGGCAGAGGAATGGTGGAGGCAACAGTGGCGTGCAAAGGGCGCACCAAAATGCATGTTGCGCACCATGTGCAGCTGGAGTTCATGAAACGTGTATAGTCTTATATGGAGTTGGACTTGCGCAATGTAACCTCATGTGAACCACTTCCCTGGGTTCTTGAACCGAGGTGGTGGCCCTCGACTGTGAGATGGTTGGTGTCGGCGTGCGCCTCAGTTTTAAGGCACAAGTTGCCTAAGTTGCCTATTCGATTCATCACCGCTCTTCCTCTCGCAGCCTGCCTGCAGTGACTCCAACACTTGATATTGGGGTAGGAGAGAAAGGATCTGCAGACCTCCAGCATGCCCACAGCGACCTTCGGCACCCAAACCCTGGACCACGACCTATCAACAAGCTTGTTGACGCATGTCCGGACGCAATTCTGCTTTCTCGCACAGGTCCGGGTGGCAAGCGCTCCGTTCTAGCCCGCGTGTCCATCGCAGCTTGGGCTGCGATGCTAGGGCTGCTAGGGAGGCAGTGCCTTCGGAGGGGGGGGAGGGGGCAGGGGAAGAGGGGGGTGAAAAAAGGCTGAGTCTGGCTGCAGGGGCTGAACCCGTCCAGGGAGTTGCTCTGGCAATTGCAGGTCCAGGGTTGGGTCTTTCGGGGAATTCATTGGTACCGGCCATACTACTAGCATTTTGCGTTTTCATCTGTGCAAACTGCTATAGCAAGAGGGTCATCACATTTTGACATACACAAGGGACGACATCCATTGCGGGAAGTAGCCCGATGGGAAGATCACCCGGTTGCCAACCCGTTCGAACTTCAGGGGCTGCTTTCCTAGGTCGACTCAGAGGGCAAAGTGCTCATGGACAAGCCAAGGGCCCAGAAGCTCTTGGGGACATGGGATCGAGGGGCTTTGAAAGGTGTTTCCTAAAACATGCCCCCGTTTTCAGAGTCCGTCCTCTGCCTTGACCCAGCATTATCGGTGCCGACGACGAGCAGGAATTGGTGCTTTCAAGCTGTTATTCTTGTTTATTGTCTGGTGTCTGGTTGCGAGCTTGCTGTCAGCAAAGAGGCAATGAAAAGCCCATCGTTGGCTAGTGCGGCAAGTGGCGCCTCATGAAGAATCGTGTCTGGGTCTGGGTAGGCTTTTCGGGAAAGATGGAGAAGCCATGCGCAATTGCAGTCTGCGCACAGAGCGGCACATCGCCTCAAGAATTCGGGAAAGCCATTCGCTCCAAGTTATCCCAAAGTTGCAGCCCCATGAGCCCTCGAAGCCCAAGATCCTCTAAATCCTGAACCCTACGCCCTAATTGTGGCCCTAAACCCCAAACCATAAACTCGAAATCTGGCCAGGTTTGTGCGGCCTCGCGAGTTTGCCGGAGCCTTGTGACAGCTTAAGCCCTCAGAGCAAGCAAGGTAGTTAGGCTGGAATTCGCTATGTTGCTTTATCAGTATATGGTACTTAATATAAAAATATTCTTAGAATATAACGTATATGATTGTATTGTACTATAACAGCATGAGAAAACTGTGTTATCGCGGTTCAGCTGAGTTGCAGAGGAGGCCCCTCAAAGAGAGGCCTCCTGTATGATAGTAATGCAGAATGTAGAAATATTAGAACATAAAATAAGAGTATAGTAGCATAAACATATATGAATCTGATGATATAATGAATCATATTCAAATATATTTATCTACTACTATAAGAATATAGAGCATGAGAAGTATCAAAATGCAAAAATATGTGAAACACCAATATAAGAATAAACTAATCGCAATATAAGAAATACGTATCACAATCTCAGAATACACCAATAACAAGATACCCTACAGATCTCATGCAGCTTTGCAGAGGTCACGGACTTTCGCACGCACATCACGGGCATCACTCCGGGGACCTTCAAGCGACCAGGGGCCGGGATCCGTGTGATGGGTGTTATGGGCAGGGTTTAGGGCGCAGGGTTTAGAGGGCTTAGGGTTTAGGGGTTTGGGTTTCGGGTTTAGGGTTTATAGGGTTTAGGGCGGGGAACGGGGTGAATTTTCAATGGAGCTGAGAGGTTGGGGGGTTTAGGGTTCGGCCTTCGCTGCTGAGTCTGGAAAGGCCTTCGGAGGGTTTGCCAGCATCCACGCCCGTGATTGCCAAGATACGCTTCTCTTGTCAACCGCGCCCCCCGAGGTCATCTCAGAAGATGATGCCCGAGCAGAAGCTGCCAAAATGCCTGGCGCCCATCGTTCGTCTGTAGCCCCGAGCCCCCGAGCTCCAAAGCCTTGCCTCTGTGCTGCTCTTGCAAGTGCCGTCTCTCTCTCTCTCTCTCTCTCTCTCTTTGTGCCTCTCTCTCTCTCTGCACCAGGTTGGACGGCAAGATCGTCGTGGGCCATGGCCTGCAGAACGACTTCCAGGCGCCGAGAAAAACTTTACGAGGAAGATGCCCGAGACGCCCGAAGCTTATAAAGCCGAAGGAGGCTTCAGGAATGAGCTCAGCTCAAGAACAGCAGATCCTTTTCGATACATAAAGGCGAAGGAGGCTTCGGAAGGAGGCAAATCAGGAATGAGCTCAGCTTAAGAACAGCTGGGATGTTGTGAGATCGGCTCCGCTCGGCCAACAGCCCCCAGGCCAACCACGCGAGCCACTGGGCTCCCAGATCCGATGGCACCCGCGCCCAGCAGGGAAGCCCTGAAGCCCAAGATGACGTGGAGTCGTAGAACCCTATTCTCCAGAGAGTCCACCCAATTCCATGGTGGTACTACAGATGGACCCTCTGGGTTATAAGAATGGCCACAATTTTGACAATGGCAGCGTAGGGCGTTCAGACGCGCAGCTCCATGCGGCATGGCGGCTGCGCTGATGCAGGCTCCTTGGCTAAATTTGCCTTCGACCGTCTTTGGCCTTCCTTGGCCTGCGACTACGTGAAAGAGCGGGATGATATCAACTGCTGATGTCGTCAGAGATCTCTGAAGCAAAAAACACATCCGAACGGCATACTCAGAACTTGCCGAACCATTGACAAGCCCTCGTGTGACAGAACACAAGATAGAGCACAATGGTCAATGTATCAAGGCTGTCGTGTCCGAGGAGGAGAAGGAGGTGACTCAGAAGAAGTCACCTGACTCCCCCACCCCATGATCCACTGAACCCAGACATCTCGGGATCTTGGGATCTTATCCTCAGGATTTCGGGGCGCCTTTTTCGGGCTCAAAAAAGGTCACCTATGGAAGCTCGCCTGCTCTGAAATCTGACTGGACTTGACTGACAAGTGCCCCCCAGAGCTGCTTTGAGAGGCAACGCTCCTGCCGTTCGTCCACGCGCGCTTCCGGCATCTGCTGCCTTCCTGGTTTTCAAAGAAGGCCCCAACATTGGCACTTCGAAATGTGATTTCGCGCCATGCGTTGTTAAGGACCATCGTCTAAGTGTGCAACAGAACCTCAGCCAAGTACCGACAAGAAGACCCCCCCAAGGAGCGCTTAGGAAGCTGAGTGCCAGACCGGCTCAGCACTCCAAACCCTCCAAAAACGGGCCCCTATAAGTTCAATGCATTCTGGAAATGTTCCGGACCGCTGTCGTCCCAGTCATGCCATACTTGCCATACTTGCCAGGTGGCCCGTTTCCGCATCGGCGACGGTCTGGTGTCTGAGCCTGGGCTACATAAAGCCGCTCGGAGTTCCCTGAGGCTCGGGGGCTCCCCCGTCACGCATGAGGCCAATGGTCTGCAGTACATGCTACAAGAAGTCATATGGGGGCTCCTGAAGTCCTGATTATCAGGGAATCCTTCTATTTGAGGCTCTAATTATTTGAGGGGCCCTTATTTTCGTATACCCTCACACCGACCCACGTGGTCATCGTGTAAGTATTGTAAAGCGTAGGTGGCCAGCTTGCGAAGTCACCGAGGTGAATGGGAGAACGGAGCGTTTCCTGCACCACCCCTTGAAACCTGGGGACGTCGTGTGCATCGATGCCTCTTGGTTCGCAGATCCTGGTTCGCAGATCGATGGTGATGATGGACCTCCGGTTTGGGATGTCGGGACTCTGCGCAGTTTTGATGGAACTGAACTTGCTGGAGCGATCATGAACGAAGTAGAACCTCGGCCCTCTGGTTGGCGAAGAAGTTCCGACTGACCCTGAAAGAAGGGGTTAGCTTAGGGCTTTCGCGTAAGTACCCAGAATTGTTGGTTTACCTGCAGCGTGAAGTCTGCACTAGCAATCGTGCGAGTTCTCGCAGAACCGAAGATGCGCCCTTCATCACCCCCAAGAAGCAGAAGCCTTTCGACCGATAGCAGAATTACCACGTATGCCAAAAGCAACCTTTCCCCCAATCCGGCCGCCCCCCCCATGACCCCCTGCAAAAGGCCAAGCAAGTGCGAGCCGCGCAGCTTCTCCGGCGCAGGCGAGAGGAAGCGCCTCTACTGCGAGACCAAGGCCCACAAGGGTCGCTTTTTTTTTTTTCAACATATCTGGAGGGGGTTCCGAAAAGAGGGGGTTCCTATGATAAGGCTTAGAACATTTTGGGAGACTACTACGGATTCCAATTGCTTGTCTGTACTACTTTGTTGGAGGTTACCTTCGTAGAATAACACAGAATACCTGAAGAAATGATTCCTAGGGTTCTAAAGGTAAACTCCACCGCCACTGCAAGACGGCGCTGACCGGACGACAAGCCTTCGGAGCCTGCGACTTTTGGAGTGGCTGCACCTGCCGCTCGGCTTTCTGAAGCCTTCTTGTGTCGGCGCGCTCGTGTGTGTTTTCTTCTGTTAGAGAGCAGCAAGGGGTGTCTGGAGAACGAGGGTTTGGACTTGCAAGTCTTGCACGCTTTCAGATTTTACTCTCCAGGGTTTCAGAGCAGAGAGGATGGGACCTGAAGAGTAGGGAGGACGAAGGGAAGGGATTGGAAGGGATTCAGGGTAAGGAATTGAGGAACCAAAGAGTTCACGGTATAACCAAGGAAGGAGGGCCTCTCACTCAAGGAGGCAAGGCGTCTGGTTTAGGGTCGCCGTACCTTGGAAACCCCAAACTTATGTATCTGTCGGACCACCACAAACGCATATAAACACCCTTGAGCATTCTAAAGCAACCAAACGGGAAGGCTTTGGGTTCTTGTAGTCTTAGCTCAGTGGTGGTCGGGGTTATGCCGGAGGTCGAGGGTCGGCGAAAATTCAGTGCAGGCCTTGCCTTGAGACGTAACTGACGTAACATTGCAGTGCCCTGCTCACTCTCCCAGCCTTCAACGCCTTTGCGGTCTCCACCCTTTATCCTAAACCCTATTAATCCTAATTTATAAACCCTGAACCCTTCCGTCAGGGCCCATGACATCGTACCTTTGGGGCCAGGCCCGCTGCGCCATCCGCGAGGGCCGGGTGAAGATTGACGGCGTGCCCGTCGAAGATCCGGCGAGATGCTGGGCAGAACAGACTGGATTTTGCGCCTCTCAGGGCGTTCGGGGTTTGGTGGCATGTTTCGTAGCTCCGGGATTCTAGATGAAGTAGGGCACTGATACATGACTGGGCGGGTGTGTAGAAAAGGTTCCTTTTGAATACTGCTGAGTGTGTATGTTGCTCCGCGGCGAAACAGCTCCTATGCATCTGCAACAGTACTACGGTAGTCTGCTATTGCAAATAGGAATTTGTCAAGAATCATGGGGACTTCGGTCATTCAAGAGCAACCAGTCTCTGCCGATGCTTTTCTACCGCAAGATGCCTGGTACTCGGTTCAGGTAGCAGCTTCTTCGAAAGCCCTGCCCTGCCTAGAGATCCTATAGTTGCCGATAGTTGCCGAGAAATTGAGTGAGCAGTTATTGTAAGCTGTGCCTCCAGGTAAAACCCTCAAAGCCCTCAACCCTAAACGCTAAACACTAAACGCTAAACCCTAAACCCAACCCTAAGCCCCTTTTTATTCCTAGGTACCCCTGGGTCGAGTCATCCTGGGCAAAGGATTGGTCCCTCCCAGCTCCGCGGTGGCTCAAGCGCCTGCAATCGAGGCTTGGGGCGCCCTAAGCCGACGGTAGGCATGTCCCCCCTTATGCGAACAGTCCTTAATAGGGAGAAGGGTTTGGGGGACTCCTTTTTGGTTCAGTTTTCCCTTATCACGTAAACCAAAACCAACCAAACATACCCGTGTTGCTTTATTTGGTTCCTGGGCTACTTAGTATATATCAACCCAAACCCCCTGACCCTACATCCTATCCAGGGCTTTCGAGAGCATTTTTTTTGGAGGGTTCGGAGGGTTTCGAAGACCTGATGCTGCTTGCGTTCAGACTCTTGGGCGGGGAAGCAGTGAAGCTTGGAATCCAACGAGATGAAGGCTTGGGGTTCCTAGCTCCAAACGACAAAATGCCGACCCTACACAAGCCATCCCATTTCCCGGGTGTTGTCGTGTTTCTGTTTGGGGGCCCCCCCCTGGACTTTAAATTTAGCACGCTAGTAGTAGTAGACCATTCCTTTGCCATTCCTTCGCGTACCTGCACTAGATTTTGGTCTGTCTTGTTTGGGCACCGAACAGAGGCCCAGGAAGGGCCCTAATCCGAAATCCTTGAACCCTGAACCCTCAAGCCTCCCCCCTCGCCATCAATTCCGGGCACTGCCCGGACCTTTGGGAAGATCGATCCAGAAAGTAGAGCCCCCAAATAGTACCGCAGACTGCTATCTTGGGTCATTCTTAGGAACCTTAAGCACTTTTCGGATCCTCCCAAGCGACTACCCAAAGGCCGAAGATCCCGACGCTCTTGGCGTAAGAGTCTTGCACGAGGCCAGTAAGTTGATTTTGGGCTTTAAATGGGGCGCCTTACAGAACTTGGCAGGGTTGCAGGTTGTCCTTATTGAAGAGGCGCTTCATGGTGCTTTGTTGGGTTGAGGGTTCTTGCACCGCTTTCTAGACCACCCAGTAGTACGATATAGCTTTATAGCTTGTGTACCAGCCTTTTCAATCAAGCAGGGGGCAGGGGGGGGGGCCTTTTTGGATTCAGCTATTATCTGTGACACTGGAGAAGAGAGTTCGGAAAAGCGCGGATGCTCCTTGTAAGGAGGCAAACCATGGGACCACACGTCGGCTCGGGTTCGGGGGGGTCCAAGGGCTGACTGACGGGATGTTTGCGATTTCTTGGTTTAGAGCTTCTGGGTTGATAGCCGTTTCGAAGATCGAGCTTTTGTCGTTCAAGATCCGGACTTCACGTCGACGATCTTTTGCTGCTTACCTCCCACCCCCTGAGCCACAGGTAGGGCGTTGAGCCCCGGGCACTTGTAGTATTTCTTCGAAAGTAGCAGCTTGGCATGTTCGCATGTTCCCCTGATCCTTGATAGGGATTATCCTAGTCGGTAGTATGCTCCCTGTTAAGGAACACTCCAAGTAACAGCCTTAACATAGATGGACCCTGAGGAGTCCGGGTTCGCCGTGGCTTGGAAGCCCGCCGGAATCAGCGCCTCTGTGCCGAGGCTGCACCGTAGTATAGGGGTCGGAATAACTACAACTTACATTCCTTATGTTCCCTTTGTAACCATACTATAGTAACCCCAAAAACCCTTTTCCAATTATTCAGGCCCCTTTGTGGCTGCGCCTTTTGCCATCCCCCCCCCCCCCCCCCCCCCCTCCCCCAACAAGCGAGCAGAGGCTCCATGGCTGCGGTTCTTGCGGCGGCATGACATCTATAGATACCTAATGAAGCCACACAGCATCGCGCAGCAGCTAAAGGACGCTATACCAAACCGGGAACTCTGAGGGGAGCAGAGCCCGGCTTTCAAAGGAAGTAGACATTGGCATGAGGGTCTTGCGCACTTGGCTTCCGTCACACCTCCTAGTGTGATTTGGGGGTTGCGTTCATAGGATGATCCTTCTACAAGCGCAAGACACAAGACAAAAATCGATGTCAATCCTTTTTGTTTTGTGGTGCATGTTTTAGCATCAATCCTGAACCCTAAACCCCAATCCCTAAACCCTGAACCCTCAGCCTCGTCGTGTTTGTTTGTGCCTTCGCCAAGAAGAGCCTGCGAGCTGCCACAGGATTGCGCTGCGGCGCTGCCAAAGATGGGAGTCCCGGGCCTCCTGGCTTGAGGGGGCGTTAGGGTTTAGGGTTTAGGATTTGGGTTTGGGTTTTTTTGGGGTTTCAGGGTTTAAGGGTTTAGGGTTTTTTGGGGTTTATAAGGGTTTAGGGTTAAGGGTTTAGGGTTTAGGGGGTCCCGCTGTTGTTGGGGAGCAAGTGGAACACGCCATTATGAAACCCACGCCCCCCCCCCCCCTTCCTCCCGTACCCACCGCCTTTCCCTGCAGTTGAGTGTTAAAACAGTTAATTCTACTCTTCACCCCAGCAGGCTGGCCCCGGTCAACAGTTGGGCACCGTACATTGATTGCATCTTGACCCTGCAGCTCACCGATTCGGGCCTATGTCAGAAGACTCAGTTTGCTCGCAGGCGGACAAACGCTTGTTTTGCATTCAAAGCGTTTCATGTTCATGCCTGGTGCAAGCATGTCATGTGATGCCGTATTTCTTGAAAGTACGAATGAAGGTTACACCCCTCAGTCGAGGAGGCACGGATGTGGACGCCAGTTGTGTACAGCAGTTCTACACAACTGTCTATCAAGCGTCCTGCCCCCAGGGTTCACCAGTGTCCTCACTTCCTTCAGTGATTCTATGTTTTTGTCAGACCGATGCATCCGCAATGTTTCTGGTCCGCCTCCTTGCGACGCATCACGACCTGTGCAGGGTACTGATGATTGCCTTTGACAGGTGAAAGGCATGCTCGCTATAACAGGGAAGTCGAACCCGACGATATGGCAATCCCTCAACGGTGCTCCAACATCTGCGCTAGCAGTGAATGTGGTGACCGTCACTGTTGTGTGAGAATCATTTTAGTCTATAAGCCATTGCCAGAGGTCCCAGTGATTGACGTCTGGCTGTGCTATAGTAGGACATCCACAAAGGAACCAGCAGCTCAAAGCTGAAGCGAAAGCAACTGTATGGCAGCAATGTTTGCTCTGTCCGAAGCATACTGCACAAGAACAGACGCCACGTCAGTTCAGCTTGACTATCGGTGATCATCGGACTGAACTTTCACATCTTGCAGGCCACATGTTCGACGAACAACGGCATGTGAAGAGGACTTGCGTTTGTTAAATATCGTTTATGACGCGAGACCGACCGAACATCACTAGGATATTGCATAGGTTGAGATCTTTTCCATTCATGAAAATTGAGCATTCGCCATCGCAAGAACTGCTATATCAAAGTTGACTGCGGCCTCCACTGTGCTTTACGAACCGACTTCGACACGGAGCCCGAATTATCTTCCCGGAAAAGCGATGAGAGATTGCATGGGCTGAGAACTCCTCAATTCGTAAAAATGAGGCATTCGCCATATGCGACGATAGTAGCGACGTGATGTGTGCTAACCTGGAGCCAGCTGTGCCCGCCGCAAAAAAACAACAAAGTGCTGGCAATTTCAACTCGATGCAACGTGCGCGCTTGCTGCTACGAAGCACGTGCATGCCAGCGTCGCGCGTGTGTTTTAACAGCCAAACAGCCTCACTCCTTAAGCCTGTTCACTGCATGTGTCTCCTGTTCGATCTCCTTGTTTTCTCGACCTTGCTTGGCAGTATCAGTATTGTGTGGCTTTCGAATCTCGCCGGAACTATTTTCTTCCAAGACTTTGAGCCTGATGTCTGCGTGCCATACAGGAGGATGAGCCGCGCACAGTCTTGCCATAGTATGTGTGCAAGAATCGCGCAGGCAATAAAGCTAAACACATATTAGAGTATGAGTCGATGTCGATGTGATGCGTAAATCGTTCTTCTGGAGTATCCTGGGCGCCATGTTCATGTTGGAGCTGCCGCTGCTACTTGGAATCGTCATAGCCCCAGTTGTTTTTTTCTTTTGTGAAGTCAACCATTCATTGTCAGATGTTTATCTTTCTTCATGGGTAGCCTTAAGATCCGCTGGTGGAGGCGACATTCGCAGCTCCGAAAGGCCGACCCTTCAAATATCTGTTGTACATGTGCGACTTTATGCCTCATCTTCGATACGGAGAATCGCAACAACATCGACGTCAGCTTCTCGATTTGAAAGCGGTCCATGTAGCGCTTGTTTGATCCAGCGAAGTGGACTATGATCTCGCAACACTCCAAGGGAACTATGGTAACCAGCACCACGCATGGCTAGCAGTTGGCTTTGTGATTCCAGGTCCGTTGGCGAGCATTGCCTCCCTGGGTCCGAGCCGAAGTGACCGTCATGAAAGTCACGGTGTTGCGAATGTCAATTTGAACTGAGAAGTGTTCGCTTCATCTGCTGGCTTTGTCATTATATGCGAGGTGAAAGCAAAACTCCGACAGAGCAGGGCATCCAACTCACATTCATGTACCGGAAGCGATGACACGCAAGCCAAGTTTCGCAGGCTAAGACAATGCATTGTCCCCAAAATCCAGACTCACTTGTACACTACCAAAACAGTCACAAGTAAGTCACTAAAAACAAAAAGGCGCAAGTGGAGCTGCGGTTTTTGGAATGTATAGTTGGTTGCAAGTACCGCTATTCGAGCACAGTTCCCCCCCGCTTCATGAGATCACTCTCCTATTTTGGGCCACTTCGGGCGGCCCTGGGATGGGCACTTTAAGGAGTTTGAGGGCATGGAAGCTGGGATGCTGAGGATTCAGGGTTAGTTTCGGGTTTAGGGCTTGGGGTTTGGGGTTTAGGGCTTAGGGTTTAGGGGATTTGGTTCAAGGTGTTGACCTCCTGTCGCGGTTTCCGGGGTAACCCCATCCTCGGTCATCCGATCCCAAATCCCAGCAACTCCCAAGTTTGGGCAAGTTTGGGAAGCCCCCCAAAAATTACCCTAAACCTAAAACCCTAAACCCTAAGCCCTACACCCTAAACCGTAAACCCATCCCGACACATCCTTGAAGCGCCTCTGTGACGCAGAGGCGACCCGGGATACCCGAAAGCAGCGTCCAGCGTGGAGCAGTCCCTTTGCGGAGCCTTGGTGTGCAGAGTTCCCTTAAACCCTAAATTCTAAACCCTAAACCTTAAACCCTAACGTTGAGACGCAAAACACACCGCCGAAGAGCCTTGGCAACTAATTAAGCCCCTTTGCACGGTTGCAAAGCGCTCCATGACGAACACAAACCACAAAGCACCATTTTGGCCCTGAGTTGAATTAAGTGGCCGCGCCTAAACGACGATTGCTCGCCTATTTGGACATCCTAGTGTAAATCCACCAATCGAAGCTTGCAAGAACTGCACCCTGGCGGAAAACTTCAGTTTGATCTCAAAATCGGATCTCTGAAGAAGGACTCGTCCTCGTTGCCACATCCGCAAGCGGCTGGCGCCTTTTGTGCCGAGCCCTTGGCAACGAAGAGGCAAGGCCCGGGAAACCTCAAAGGTGTGCGGATGCATGTTGCAGGTGACGTTCGAGGTCATGGTGTGGAGTTGAGGCGTTCGGCTCAGGTTGTAGAGATGACAGTCTCTTTTCTTAAGCCCGTCACGTCTTGTGCCCAGCTTTTCAAGTTACTAGATGCGAAGGCATACTGACAGAATCTTGAAACAAAACTCAACAAAAAACATTAAGTCGTAGCCTTTGTCTGTACTTGGCAAACGTGGCAAGCAGGAACGCGTCGGTCGGCCGCTTCTGCATGCTAGCTCGATGGCTTAAGCAGCCTCGCCCACTCTCAAACGCGCAAATCAAAAAGGGAGCAAACCCAATCAAGGAGAGCATTGAACGCCATGAGCAGCACTAGTCACTAGCGCGGTCAATACAAGGGAGGAGTGTGAGAGTCAGTGGTAGTGGTAGAAACGACGCTTCTTTGCGCAGCAATTCGAGACAGAAAATCCCGGGGAGGCAGTGAAGGAAGAGTTCATGGAGCCAAAGGAGCTCCGAGCTGCTTCGTCTGCCTTTAGATTCTGCTTACAGAGCCTTCAGCCCTCGGCTCCAGTCGAAGCCCTTTTGTGGCCCTCTGTATCAGCACGAGGCAACAGCCCTGCTTGATTGCGTTTGGCTTGCCTGCAGCAAAGCGGCGCCCTGCTTGATCGGACACAGCTCAGGCGGCGCGGTGCCATTTCCTGGTGGTGGTGGATTGTGTGTCTGGGCTCTCCTTGAAAAATCAGTTGCTACTGCGTACGTCTACTGCCAATAGATCTTGGCCACTTCTTTCATTTTTCTTCTTTTCTGCTGCTTTTCACGAAGAGCACGATACTTGCCCATATCATGTAAGAGACGCCCGCTCGACGCGTTCCTTTCTAGGTCGGCGAATTTTGTAACTAGGTCTCGATTTATATACGCCCCGCCCCCCCCCCCTCCCCCCCTCCGCATCAACAAGAACATAGTAGAATCACCTTCTTTGGTCAAAAAGGTCACCCGAAAGCAGCATCTGTGGTTATCGGAAGCAAGTAATATGGGGTCGGAATAGCTACTAGTGGTATTCCCTGATGGTCCCCATCTCATTATACTAGAACAACCCCCCCCCCCCCCAAATCAAGAAACAACTGTTCTATATTATTATGGCTCCTGAACCCCTGAACCCTGAACCCTAAAGCCTAAACCCCTATATTCTGCACTACCAGGATGGGCTATTCTAACCCTGAACCCTCAAGGCCCTCAACCCTATCAACCCTAAGTGTGGAAAGGAGGCCAGCGCCCCGGGCAACGAGTGGCGTCCCGGAGATGGTCCCTTCGAGCTGCTGAGGCCGAAGCTTCGCCATGCCTTCGAGAAAGCACAGGGGCCTGAATGGAATGAGGTTAAGGGTTCAGGGTTTAGGGTTTAGGGTTCAGGTTTAGGGTTCAGGGTTCAGGGTTCAGGGTTCAGGGTTCAGGGTTCAGGGTTAGGCGGGGCTGCAATTTTTTGGAAATGCTTTGGCTTCCCTGTAGTGTCCCTGATCGTTTGCAGTGAAGTAGCTCAGGCCTCTGGGAGGATCCAAAAACTAGATCCGCTTAAGGGTCCGTAAGAAGGACACAATAGTAGGGTACTATGCTCTACTTTTGGAATCCCAACTCGGCCTCCCAGGCGCTCTCCAGAGCCTGCAGCACTACACCCCAAAAACCTGAAAGGATCCAAAAAGTAGATCCCCTTGAAGGGTTCCTAGGAATGAACCGATAGTAGTACAAGGCCACTATTTGGGGTTCTACTTCTTGGATCCTCCCAACTCAAAAAGGCCCGAAGCCATAAACCCTAAACCTCAAACCCTAAACCCTAAACCCGTGAGAAAAAAAGGCCCTGGCGAAGCACCCGCTGGATCCGCGGAAGGGGCCAGTTGCAGGTGCCGCGATCAACGCAGACCATGCAGACATAGCCTTAGCTCTTCTTTTCTTTTATTTTCTTGTTTTCTTCTTCTTCTTCTTTTTATTATTCTTCTTGTTCTTCTTTTTATTGTTTGGGGGGGGGGGGGGGGGGGGGGGTTAGAGCTTAGGGTTTAGGGTTGAGGGCTCAGGGTTTTCATTGTTCTTTGTTTGCTTCCGAGGGTTGCTTAGAAGGGGGAGCTTGAGGAAACAAGCGCCTCCATACCCCCCCTCCCTCACTCTTCCTTATGAGGCGGAATCTAGGGGTTATCATATGTTATGATCTTTTCTTTTCGAGGGGTTCTTTAGCAAATACTAGATACCTCTCCTGTTGAGGGAAGCTGCCTCCCCCCGCAGAAATTCTGGTCTAGGTCGCGTCATTGGTTTCAAGCTGCATCGGTGGCGAGACCGACGAGATATGGGTAGTTCTCTAAATTAGGGTCCCTTTCGGGATCCCTTTTTAAAGGGTGCCGCCCAAAAATGTGCACCTAAAAAGGGACCCTAATTTAGGAAACTACCCAGATGAATCAAAAGCTTGTGGCTCCTCTGTGTCCATGGCAAAGCTAGCTTTGGGAAAGGTTTCTTTGGAAATCCGGCCGGATTCTTGCATCTGCCATCCAAGCACAGAAGCACGTGGCCAACGGCTTGACAACCAGCATCCTCCGAGAACGGTCCCGAAAGTCAGAAGCCGAAAACCATTCTTTTAAAGCTTAAGCCTCCAAAATACAACGCCTTCGATGAGGATCCTACCCACTATAGTCGTCCCCTCTACGTCCCTTCTCTAGGTCTTGGAGTGCATCTGCCCTGCACCCCTTCCGGGGTCCAAGCTGTTCGCATCCTCCTTGGCCAACTTGGGCAGCGTGGATCCCGACTTCAGGAGGTTGTCTGGGCTCCGAAGGAGGTCCACTTTTCAGTCTTCAGGGGCCCAATGGTGCATCGGGCTTGGGCTCAGAAGTTTCTAGGTTCGGCACTTGAGGCTCCACATGTTCTACGCGTCCCCTCTTTCAAGTTTCAAGATCTTTCAACATCTTGCGCGTGGGGCTTGCACAGGTGCAGAGGGGACGGTGTCGAGGCTCTCAGCTTCGGGAATGGGTTGTAGGGTCCGCCTTGTTGTTTGCAGCCCTCTACAAGGTCCCCGAAGTGAGTTACATGTTTGGAAAACGGAGGTACTATATTCCCCGTCCAGGACTGCTAGAAGAAGGGGGAACATCCCAAGTTATATGTTCTTTCTGGGCCAGCATGATTTCGAGGCATCGGTGACATCCCCCGCTCCCAGGCTACCACATCCTAGGCCGCAAGGGTACCCGCGGCCGCCCTTTGAAATGCGCGCCGTGGCTGTGAGCATTCCCAGTTGTCGGCAAGTCTTATTGGGAAGAAATCGTGAGGAAAAATGTGTTTTTTAACTTTGGTTCTCCATGTGCCCGAGACGCTGGCTAGCACTACCCGATCCTGGCTCTCCAATCTCTCGAACCTGCTCCCTGCAGCGCCAAACAGACCATGGCAATGCAAGAGGGGTGCAGTGCGGCATGGGGCTTCATCAACTTAGGGGCTGTGCAGTTAACCTTTCACTTTGGTGATATTTAATCCTAGTACAGATAACAGGTTAACCTTTTTGGGGGCTAGCGTATTCAGCCCCTAAGTCAACAACTTCTCAGCTTGCTAGGGCTGTGGGGCGAGGCAAGAGAAAGTCATCTTGCACCTCGGAACCTCAAAAGTAAACTTCGCACCCGAAACCCGAAACCCTAAATCCCAAAGGTGCTTGCGTGGAGCTTGGACTTGCCTCAGGGCTGCTTCGAGTTCAGGGCAGAAGCCCCGGCGCAGATGCTGAAGGCCTTCGAGGCCCCTGCGGAGAGTCGGAGGGATCCTAAACGTCCTAAACCCTGAACCCTCTAAAGCCTTGCTCGGCGAGGAACTTCAGGCTTCTTGCTTCGTGGAGGCTTCCTAGTCCGAACACCAACCGCCTCACCTTCGCCATCTCGCAGACTCAAGCTGCCCTACCATACCCTTTCACTTCACGGGAGTAGCACCTTTTGCAACCTCAAGCACTGCAGCGCTGTTCCACCCTGGAGCCCAAGTTCAAAAACTTCATACAAGCCCAGACGAGCCCGGCCCTGTCGTTTTTTAAGGCGGCCTGCGCCACGTGGCGAAGGCATCAGGAAGCGCTGAGTGCACGCCAGGGACGGCTTCCTGAAGAGGACGGGGCAACTTCTGGGGGGGGGTTTGGGATGTGCCGTGCCGGGGTTCGGGTTCATAAAGCGCGGCGGCCGATGTGGTGTAGATGGCCCCAGAATTATAAGGTGAACCCTCACAGTGTGGAGCTTGAAGACAGCAACTCCGGATCGTAAGGAGCGAGCGGCGCCTGGTGAAACTGCAGCGTCTGCGACGCAGCAACTCGAGATGAGCAGGGGTTCGAGAAATGCATACCCCTGCTTGCTACCAGTTTGCTTCCTCAGGCTGCACGTGGGGTGTATCCCTCTCGTTGTGCTTCCTCAGAAGTTGGGGGTTTGGGGTGGGAGGAGGGGGGGGGGTTTGTGCGGAGCAGCTGCAGCGCGGGGGACAGGAGGCGAGAGTGTTCAGACGATATATTGTAGGGAACCCTCAACCCTAAACCCGACACCCTAAACCCTAACCACTAAGTTCCTAAGTGCTTCTTTCATGCTAGCGGCTCACAGCCCCGAGCCCTGAACCCTGTCCAAAGTGTCCTTTCCACCTGTATGGGGGTTTGCGATTTTACGGGTACCGCATTCGGGTCCTTACTGTAAGGGGGTCCTGCTATTCGGGATCTATATTAAGGGTTCCCTATTTTCGTAAACCCCCAATGAACCAACTCAGGATTGCCTATGCGCGGGGCTGGGAGCTTTTCTGCAGCCACCGGCTGCTTTGGTGCAGAGCATGTCGGAGCTTTAAGACGCCTCAAGAATGTAAGACCTCCAGGTGGGTCACTGCTTGCGCCTTTTCCCAAAGCCTTCCTCCTTTTGAAAGAGTCAGAGTGTGGAGAGGGTGCTAAGTTCCGTGGACGTGCAATTACCGTATTTCGTGGTGCCCGGTTTTCAGGTGCTGGTCTTGAGGTCCTGATAGGATGTGTTTTCCTCACAAGTTTCGGTCACAACTGTTTTGGCATGAGATGAAGGCGTAAACGGTCACTTGCAGGTCTCCGGTCCGTCATAGGCCCACCAGGGTGAGGGTTTAGGGTTTAGGGTTTCGGGTTTGGGGTTTGGGGTTTGGGGTTTAGGGTTTAGGGTTCAGGGTTCAGGGTTCAGGGTTTAGCAAACGCAGCTACAGGTTCCAGGTCTCGGATGCTGTGATGGTGCCTCGCCGTGGGACGGAGGTGGTGGCGCAACGGGTCTGCCAGGACTCTCAGGGTCATGCGAGATGGCTCTTTCAGGGAAGGCTTGCTTAAGACTTCAACTTGGATTCAGAAGTCAGACAACAAGACCCGTAAGCCAACCGTATCTACGGAAGCCCAAACCCTTAAACCCAAAGAGCCCTTAAGCCAAAGCCCAAACAATTTAATACGGGAGTCTGGGTGTTGCAAATTAAAGACCCGCTCCCCTGAAAATTCGCCTTGACACCTCAAGACTTTGTAACCGTAGTAGAGTAGGCTACCTTTAGCCTTTTTGCGGTGGAAGATATCCCTAGGATACAGGACAACTCATACGGACGCCAGTCCGACGGCATGGGCGTGGATCTTAGTAATATATTCAGCTCTAGAGCTAGTCGAATTGGAAACTAGCCCATGAGAAGATGATATAAGCAATGTTCAGGTCTTCGCACTTGCTTCAACAACCCTATACAGCCGCCCTGGACAGGCGCTTGGTGCTGTCAAAAAGCCAGGTCCCCTGCGATTGTTGGATCTCGGGACCCCTGCCTGCAAGAGGGGAGGTCGAGACGCCGAGCGCGTACTCTGGACAACAATAATGCCACTGACGCGACGCTTTGCATTCTTGTCAGAAATGTCTTACAAGCTGAAGAAGAAGAATAAGCAAGCAATAAGGGCAAATGGAGCAAATCAAGGTTTAGGGGGGAGGGGGGCTGGAGGTAATGAAGTAAATGCAATGAACTTAGAGTGTGGACATTACAGACATCTTAAGTTACATACTGAATGTAACAAACCCTTCATAAACATACTACAGTTAGTAGCATGAACCTAATAGTTCCTGTAGTCATTGTCTTTAATGTGAGATTGCCGTACGCACACTGTTTTTGTTTCTCACAGAATAGTAACTATCGATGTAATATTCAATTTAGTTAAGGCTTTGCTGATTAGCGTATGTTTGGGCCCCCACGAAGAGGTAATTGAGTTCATTAAGGATTATCGGATGGTGTAATACATGTGGCAAGTACAACTCACGTAGCAGCCGTAATTCGTATAATTAGTTGGCTGCTGAAGGAGGCAAGACCGTGTGAACCCCTTCCAGCCCTGATTGAACGATTCATCAAGAAGAGCCTTGAGCAGGCGGGCAGCACTGAACCGCACTATCCCTCAACCCGTAGCCGAACGCATTTGAGGACGGGCAGCGGCTGCATCGCCATCTCCGCTTTGCTCGACCTCCAGGCCCGGTCTTTCATTATTGAGTGACCTTGAGAGACAGTGACTTACAGCTAGCTAGGTAGCTGTTCTGCGCGCCGGCTCAAAGTGCATGCAGTAGGTATCGGGTTTCCTGGATACATGCTTCAGCATCGACCTGGCAGGAAGCGGCACATTATTAAGCTTGCAGTAGAATTAGGCGTGAGTTGAGGAGAATCGGCGAGGTGCCGCTGACCAAGTGACTATTGGCCCTTCAAGAACCCCTATTCTCCATGCCACGGTGCGCCCCTTCCCACTCACGCGTCTGGAGGGAAGCGATGCCGAAGCCGTCGGCTTGGACAGCAGCGCTGAGGTGTCTTGACTTTGCCATTGCACGACAGCAGCAGGTCACACTCTTTCTGAGACCTGCAGAGTTCCAGAACCCGTTGGGAAGCTTGTACAACTTCGAAACCGTAGAGCAGGTATGGTGCTTGAGTGATCCGAGTGGGGCTAGTGACCCCGCCAGGTCTGAGAACCCAACATATTCACTGCATCTTCAATCACTACTTAATCATCGGAGCTTCTGCTTGAAGCCCGAAATCGCACTCATCCTTTGGAGATCTCGGCGTGGTCTGCATGACCGCCGCACTTGTCCCCGAGCCGGACTGTTTGTCAGAGGCCCCCCCCGCCCCCGAATGTCAATGCAGAGGCTTTAGCTGTGGCCACTCGCAACGCCGAGCTCCTCCTGCGTAACCCACAGCGATTTCAAGCGGTGGACTTGCTCCAGCTCTTGCTTGTTTAGAAGGCTTGGGAAGGACTTCATTTCGGGTCATGGGCTGAGGGGTGCAACATTGCTTGTGCTGGCATGTTCTCGACGCGTCAACCAGGGACCGATGCTTGAGCAAATCTCGAGTACGAGTGACCAAAGTCCAGCAGACCAAACCGGAATATGGCTTAAGGGCCCTGCGACTTTCATTCGCAAGCACCTCGCTCCAAGTGATGTATTCCGCTGCATTCCTAAACTTCCCAATCCCCAACCCAGAGACCAGTGCTGCTGGATTTTTCCTTGTGTTGACTGTTTTTGGACGACGGCTAGAACCCCATAATTCTGAGCCCATTTAACCCACAAAGGGGTTCCCTGCCTTCTTATGGGAAACGTAGACCTGGGACGGTACATGAACTAAAGGTTCCCTTATCAAGCAACCAACCCCCACAAAAGGTGTGCCCTGATTCTAAGATGGTACCAGCATGGTAGTCCGCACAAACAAGTCTCCAGGTGGAGGCTTGCTTCTCCGACCTCGGATCTCCCTTTGCCAGGAACTGTCCTAGAGGGGGGGAATGGGGGGGAATGGGGGGGTTTAGGGTTATGGGTTGATCGGTTTCCGGATTTCAGGGTTTAGGTGTTAACGGGCCAGGATGGTTCTGAAAGCTCTGTTGAGTTGTGGTTGCGTAGCAGGCCAGATGTCAGGCACCTGCGGAGGTATAGTCCTTGCATCCGCACACGCCGCACACCTCCCCAATGCCCCACTTGGAGGTTCATGACACTTAGTAACCCAATTATAATTGTACTTCTAACCCAATTAAAAACCCCACTACTCCAACCCCAAGCCTCGAATCCAAGCACTGGGCGTCTGCAGCGTGCTGTAATTCCTTATTAAACGGGCCCCCAACCCCCCCCCCCCCACCCGAATAAAGACTCGAAATGTGTCTTTGCCGCCAGCACAGGAAAGGAGGAAAGAGGGCTTTCTGTTAAAAAACACTAAAAAAGGATGTTGGGGGGTTGGGGGGTTGCAGCAAGGTTTAAAGGGTTTGAGGGGGGGGGGGGTGGGGTGGGGGGTGGGGGGGGGGTGGGGGAGGGGGATAGCTCAACTCTCGCAGCACAGCAACAGGCAGCCGGACAGGCAGCTCACAGACAGCATCGTGCTGCGAAAAGACTGGACTCTAAACCTAAACCCTTAACCCTAGACCCCAAACCCTACACCCTCTGAGGGTTTTATTGGTGTTGAGGGGTTTATTGGAGGCCTGACCCCCCCCCCAATTCAAAATGGGGGTTTAAATAGATTTTTTGGATTTGGGATTTTTCCGGAAAGTGTTTTATTATTAGGGTGGTCTTTAGTAAAAGGGGGAAGGGATTAGTCCGCATGAATTAGTCTGTATGCTAAGCCCGTTTCCTGAAGGAACCAGCACATGAACCGATTTCTATGACCTCCTACTCATCTCCAAGCACATGCAACAACGGGATGCTTTGGAGGAAGCCAGACAACATAATGACTTACAATACAACTGGTGGCGGGCGTATGCATGCCAGAAGTATGAGGGCAACTGGTCTTGTCTTTACTACTCAAACGTACAGGTGTCTGCCAAGCAAGCACGAAGGCAGACCTGAATACCCAAAAAGATTTGGAAGGGTCTTGATACATTGCGTTTGGAAGCACGAACATGAGGGATTCCAGAGTTTGTGTTGTGATAAGCCTTTGACCCGAAGCTCCGGAATTGTTAGTCGCAACCCGCGGCAGCCCAAACCCATCAAAAAGCTAAGCCTGTTCAGCGGCCAAAAGAGGACGCTGATGAGTCCCTCTGGTCTCGGCTTCGACGTTGTTGTCGCCAACCCGCCCTACCTCACCCGTGCGCAGGCAACGAGCAACCTGCGGATCTGGGGTTTCCAAGAAAAAGGGGGGCACCCCTTCTGGGTCCCTTCAAGATTCTATTCTATTTGGGCTAGAAAGGGGGTAATCCCTATTTGGGGAAATGTACCGTGATTGTTAGGATTCGGATCACCTCTGACAGGGCACTTTTCATCCCGAGTTCACGTGGCAACCTCCTTGCAGGAGTTGTATAGTGTTGTGGAGTTTTCGAAGCCAATGAAGCCGGGAACCAAGGGTTGCGCCCCGGAACCTGAAAAGAGAGTTTGCTTTCAGAGCCCAGGCCAACGCGGGGTTCCCCAAACCTATAGAAACCCTATAAAGACAGTTTAGAAACTCCATCGAAACCCCATAGAAACCGTATGGAAGCCCTACGCAAACCCCATAGAAACCCTAAGCCCAGATCAGTTCTGCTGTGCCCTCGCTAGGCTGAAGAATTGCTGGGGCCGCGGCTCCAGGCCAAAGAGCCTTGGCAGGTGCCTCTGTGCCTCTGTGCTACTTTCGTTTAGGGTTTAGGGGAGGGGGGCTCTGTGTCTCTTGAACCTTAGGGTGAGCTCTGAGCCCCCTCCAGTCCGAATAACCGAAAGATGGAGGTGCCCAAAATTACGTACGATTTCCACTATTGCCCCACTGCCCCACTGCCTTCCCTGTATGACTTTTTACTCTAAACTGGGCAGGCCTTCGTTTTCCAGCGAACGGCCAAAGTGATGGCCGCGCTTGGTGGTCACAAGGCCGCATGCGAATCATGAGAACGCAGGATTCAGGACTCACTTGCTGTGACTCGACATTGTGAGCTTGTTCGTCCATCACGTTTACAGTCACCTTCCCACAGCCAATCAAGAGCAATCTGCCAAACGCGTCCAGCTGTTTTTGGGAAGCCCCCGTCCGCACGAACACGTCCAAGACCCAATATAAGAAGCCCGGTCTATCGCTTCTAGGTTTTCGGGATTTTGGGCAGGGTTTTGAGAATCTCGTGGTGCTGGCATTTATCGCCGTTGCCTTGCAAGGATCTGGACTTTGAAAGGCCTCCCGGCCCAGTTTCGGGGGCTTGGGAAACCAGATCGAGGGCCTAGCTTAGGCTCCTGAGGTCCGAGTGTGCCTTTGCAAGTCTTATGCAGGGTCATGTCGACGGCGCAATCGCTGCATACTCCGTCCTCCTCATGGCCTTGGTATCTTGGTCTGCACAGAGTCACCTCTTACAACCCCGAAGTGAAAGCTAGCTGGAGAAACTCGCAACATGCCGAGTCACCTGTCCTACGCACCTGAGACCCAAAACCATAAAGCCTCGAGCCACGTCAGGTTTTTTTAAAGCCTTTGGAGTACGAGGCTCTCGGTTTTCCTAACTCTAGCCGCGGCTGAAGAATCTGTATACAATAATGTGCAAGTCAAATACGTCGGGTCTCAAAGTTGGGACGAGAAGGGCAATCGCGAGAAGCACAACAAGCCGGATTTCCAGTTGCCCCAACATGCCCCTTTAAAAACCCCGAACCCTAATAATTAATGAGTAGCCTAAGACTTGCGGACAGTCGGGAGCCGGGCCAACACTCTGCAAGGACGCTGCCCACACGTCTGGCTACGACTTGCTGGAGGCGGGAAGCTCTGTCAGGAGTTCGTCAAGGGGGTTCTAAGTCCGTTGAGCCCTTGAGCCGTTGAGCGAAGCTGCGCTTCTAGTAGTCTAGTGGTTGAAGGTCAACTTCTCCGAATCGTGTGGGCCCCACCCACGCAAGGAGGGCGGCCTACTGGTCCTCGAGGTCCCCGCCGCCTTGGAGGTAGGGCAGTAGAGGGCTGTTCTCGAAGCCTTTTATTATTGTTATTATCATCATTGTTATTGTGCTTATGATTAGTATTATCACTATTATTGTTCTTATTACCATTCTTCTTCTTATTATTATAATATGGTCGCGGTAAACCCTAAACCCTATACCCGAAACCCTATAAACCCTAAACAAACCCTAAACCCTCAGATACTGCGCTTCCAAGAATTCAATTCAAGATTTTGCGCGGCCCCAAGAGGAGGCCCACGGAAGACTGAAGAGGGCCCCCCCCCCCCCCCTCCCCAATGCTCTCCTTCCAAACAAGGCCTCGGTCCCACGAGCTCTGGCGCACGCCAAGGCACAGTTCTGTGCACAGTAGCCCTAAACCCGAAACCCTAAACCCTAAACCCGGGTATCTGGGTATATCTGGGTGATGAAAAGTTAAGAGGATTGTTTTTTGGTAGACCTTCTGCCAGCAGCCGGATTGTTCAGGATTCGCACGATTTCGGGCCGCAAGGAGGGGCTTGCCGGGACTGAAACTTGTTGAGGGATTGTCTATGATATACGGGTCGCAATAAATAAAATGCTACTCCCTTATGGTCCCTATTCATTATGTAGATATATGACCCCACTCCAATGATTGAGGCCCCTTTGTTATGTGAGCTAAAGCAGCCTTGAGTGAAGTTGGGAGGTGTTTATGGCTTGTGGTGCATACAGCATAAGGCATATCGTAAACAGAATTATGAAGTGGGCAGCATTCGAGTCTTGCCATGCATGGGACTCGCAAACTGACATACTCAGCTATCCTAGGGACAGGGTTTAGGGTTGAGGGTTGAGGGTTTAGGGTTTTGGGTTTAGGGTTTAGGGTTTAGGATCTAGGGTTTAGGGTCTAGGGTCTAGGGTTAAACCCCGCAGCCCCACAAGGCTCTGCAGGCTCCGCCGCCAAAGCCCCCGGGCCCTTCGCGCCATTGCCCTGTTTGCTGCAAGGCTCCTCGAACATGGAACGGGCTTAGGGTTTAGGGTTCAGGGTTCAGGGTTTAGGGTTTAGGGTTTCGGTCTTGACCCAGAAGGGCACACGACATCCGCTCACACGAATCGCAATTTGTTCGTGCCGGGCTCCGATATTCCTCCGACTCGTTTAGGGGTTTACGAAGATAGGGGAGCCCGAAAGAAGACCCCAAATAGGACCCCAGTACGGTACCCCTACTACCCCGTTTTTCTGACAGCATTTACAGCGGAGTGTGGAGGTATGACTTGTTAATATACGACAGTGTGCTTTATTACAGGAGCTGGTGCGCCCATGGAACAGGATCTTGAGTTGCCTTGTGGAGTGGCGGCAGCTTGAGCCGCCTGCAGTAACGCCCTGAACCCACAGCCCGAGAGATTTTGTTGTGTTTTTTGCCCCGAAAACTCGTCACAGCATGTGCCGCAGCTACAGGACGCTGTGGGCATGCTTTGGCGGCTCTTCGGCCGAGGCGCGAGCTGGCAAAGACTACTTATGCAAGAGAGAGAGAGAGGGAGAGATAGAAGGAAAAAAAAGACAGAGAGAGAGACTATGCCATCCTCAAGCCGGCGTTTTGTGAGGGGGGGTCCTGTATAATAGGACGCATAGGCAACCTACAACGAAGGGTTGTTGCGCTCTCAAGGTGGATCTGCATGAAGACCCTACTCCCACGTGGCAGGTTCCAGCAAGTCTGACAGCCCTCCACCGGATCTCCTCGGGTCCTTGAAATTGGAAGAGAGGCGTGGGCTGGCAAGCTTGCGTCGTTCAACAGGGCTCCCTTGCATAAAAGAGGGCAGCGGGCTTGACCTCACCTAAACTCAAATAGCCGAGCAAAGCCAGCTTGGTGTCAGCCGGCTTGTTCGCATCAACAAGTCCTGATTATCGTCAAGTCTTGACTTTATAGCAGGCTTGCATCAAGTTGCCCGAAGCCAAAGGGAAGCCACATGCCTTGTTGTCGGTTTGTAGAATCATTCACTGAATCTCTCGGAATCTCTCGACCCTGAGCTTGGGAAGGCTCTACGATGCCTCTGGCATCTTCCGTGGCCTCGTCTTCCGGCGCAGATCGGCAGATCGAGGGGAAAAATCTCAGAGTTGCTTCCAGAGGGGGGGGCGATTACCCGATCATTGAGCTTCTGTTTGTTTTGAAAAAGTGGTTTAGTGAGGCATGATAAGTCATGACCGTCATGTCCGCACTGTGAGGGTGTCATATGCCGTCCTTGTGCAGGCTCTGCTGCTGCAGGAGCCCCAGACAAGTCCAGTCTCCGTAGAACCTCGTCGGCCTGCATCCGTCTGTGTTCATCTATACCTGACAGTTCGTGGACACAGGTGTCCAAGCTCCTTTGCAGTACTGCTGTATGGTCCTGACTATATATTGTTTTTGGCTCGATCGACAAGCAAAAGGTGAAGATAAGATCCGGTTGACCATTTTGCTGGGTTGCCGAAAAGGAAACCACTTCAAAGTTACCATGTTATTGGAAATTCTTCAAGTTCAGCGCCAAGCCAGCATCGGAGCCGAGCGCCAGAGCAAAGAATTCTGGAACTCTTCTGCGAGCCGCGCCACACAAGCCTTTTTGTGGCTTGAAGGTCGCACCCTCACGTCCTCATCCGGGCAGCAGCCTCAAAGCTTTTCTCAGACATGGTATTGGGAATAGCTTTGAAATATTTACCTATTGATTACCTTGTCACGAGCTTTTCCTCTTCATGGCCGGTGCTCTGGTGGTTCACTGCACTTGGCAATTGACAAAACTTTCGAGGGATCCTACAGTAAGACGACCTCGCAGGCTAGTACTGGGACCAACAACATCCAAGTCTGCATAAGCAGGGGCTTCATTCTGAACGTGAAAGTGAAACCATCCTGGATGCGCTCCACAGAACCCCTTCTTTTCCCTTCACGGGGGCACCCATCGCCGCTGAGGACACGTCAGTTTTCCGGCCTTTGCGGCCGCACGAGCAGAAGCGAACGCCATCGCTTCGAAAGCTTGCGCCTAGGCAAGAAGACGACCTCGGAAAACCAATGTCTTCGGAGTACCAATATTTAACTACCACATGGAGAGCTGAAGGCCTGAGATGTAGGATTCCTTCCCTTCAGGCTCTTCAGGCACCCCGTACAGACCAGGCAATGTGAGACGCAGGGCAGTAGTACGACATGGCATGTGCCTTTGTTGATGGCCGGTTTAGACATTGGGTCGTCTGGCTGCCCCTGTTTTCACCAGCAAACCTCCAGGGTACGGAATCGACTGAGCCTTTGAGTGGCTTGCTATTGCCGAAAACTAGGCAGCAGTCGTCAGCCCAGGCACAGCATTGGCTCCAGGACATCTGAGCCTTTTGATGATGGTTTGGGGGCTTAAAAATGAACTTGTTGTTGATGGTGCTCAGGTCAAACACAGCCATGTCAAAGCTGCGCTTCGTCACCCGAAACGTACCCGCCCACTTTTTTTGTGTTGCTTGTGCCTTGCATTGCTTGTGATGGCGGTGAGAACTCAAGACATGCATGTCAAACCTTGTGCTCACAAGAAGTGTAGCAGACGAGGTAATAACGATTATGTTTGGCTCAAGTCAAACACCGAGTTTCACGATGCTGATGATTCAGATGGATCCTGCATAAAACAGTCCCGAGCGCTGAAGCGGATTGTGTGCACCTTTCTCATTCATTGAGAACCCAAACCAATTTGGTGGACAGTCCGGGGAGGAAGGTGCAACTAGGTATGCCTTCCTCGACGCCCCAAGATGAGGGCAGCCGAGCTAGCAGTGCCAATCTCCCAAGGGGGGACAGGAGCCGGACAAACAGCCCGGAAGGGTCTGAGTCTGGCAGTGCTAGACGTGGTGAGGGGAGCCCTATGCGACTACATCGAGAGCTGCAGCGTGCCCTTCGCGAGACACAAGAGGAGCGGGCATCTTTAGCCAATGAGGTCCGGGCCTATGCACGACAGACGGCCGACACCTCGCTGATTCAAGCAGAGAACAGATCGCTAGATGCTCTGCGTGCAGAAGTTCTGCAAGCGGAGAGCCGCGTGCTGAGCTCTGCGCAACAAGTCTTTGCAGAGAGTCGGTCTCTGGAGGATACCAGAGGGGACATCCGTGACGCAGAACAGCATGCTGCTCATATGGCTCGCCAGGCTCAGCACGAGTATGCTGAAGTCTTGAGGCGCGCGCAGCACGTGAGTCAGGAACATTCGGTGGAAAGTCAGTCACTGAATGCCTTGCGAACACAGGTGGTTCGTGCCGAACACCAAGTCTCGGACTCCTCTCGGCGTCTGCAGGTTGAGGGTGCCTCACTTGAGGATGTGCGGAGTGGTGTGCAGGCCAGTGAGTGGCAAGTGGCACAGATGGCGCAGAAGGTGCAGAGTGAGTACGCAGAGATGCTGCGGCAAAAGCAAGAGTTCATCCGAATGGAGGCTCGTGCCCACGAGTGCTTTGCAGAAATGCGAGCTCAAGCGGCGCAGACCCTTGAAACAGCGCGGCTGGAACAAGCTTCGGCGGCAGCAAGATCTCATGAGGCGACTGATGGGAGCGTAGAGTTTCGGCTTCGTAGTGAGTTGCAAGCTGCTAAGGCTGAGCTTGCCTTGAGTTCGTGCCGTCAGGGAGCCGGTGTTCCCGCTCCTTTACCTCCTACTTCTTCCTCTCTTGCTTTTCCTTCGTCTTTGCATCAGCTAGAGGCCGATGGGCAAGGACTGACAGCTGAAATGGGCCTGCCTGGCCCCTCTTCGCCCACTCGTTCCAACCAAGGCGATGGGTTGTGGCAAGCTTTCTCTGCTGCTCGGAATCCCGGTGCAGAAGCTCCAAACGCCTGGCCACAGGCTGCGCAGGAAGTACCCCCTGGTTTAACTGCTCCGTTGCTGCCGCCGACCCACACCACGGCCGCATCCCAGGCCCCTGCAGCAAGAATGGATGCGTTGCTTCCGCAGCTGGTGCATGCGGTGACTTTGCTTTCAGAGCAGAAGACGGGCCTCAAGAGCGATAAGCCTAGACTCAGTTGCAAGGATGCGGCATCCCTGAAGCATGAATTGGAAAAGTTCAAGCGATACATGCATGAAATGCATGCACCCTGCGGGTCCAAGTGGATCCGTTCTGCCCGCATTGTTGCTGAAGACAGAGCACAAGAGGTGCTTAAGGATGTCATCGTTCAGTCTTTTGGTAGCGAAGGAGACTACAGCGCCTGTTTGGAGCAGGAGGCTGACAATCCAGCGTGGGGCGATTTGTGGCGCTTGTATGAGCGCAGGTTGCGGGTTGCTGCAGGTCTTGACCCGCAGGATGAGATGAAGGATGTCCTCAGCGAATACTCCGCCTTAAAGCTTGAGACTAACACCCCCGCTGCGCTCAGTACCTTCCTTGATGAGTGCAGTAGACTTCGAACCTTAATGATTGAACAGTCCTTGATCACCTCCGATGCCGCTGGACTCGCCAGGGAACGGCAAGACATCCTGCATAAACTGAGGACGCACGATGTGTTCAAGTACTTGCATGATTTGGAGTACAAGCCTGAACTCGTAGACAGCTTTGATGAAAGTTTGCGGCCCTGGAGTATCGTAGGACGGTGCCGACAGTGGCTTCAATCGCGTCTCCCTAGTACCAACACAGCTAAGGATCCCAAAGGAATTCTCGACCAGTTCGCCGCCTTGCAAGACAAGTCGAAGAAACAACAACAAACCATTGACGCGCAAAAGAAACAGCTGAAAGCTTTGCAATCTGAGAGTTTCCAGCCGTTTGGGGATCAGGGTCAGCGCTGGAGGGCGGCCCGGGATTTCAACTCTCCCAAAGGGTTCAAAGGCAAGGATGGTAGCAAGGGAAAAGGGTTTCCTAAAGGCGCGCCCAGGGGGTTCCCCAAAGGGTCGGAGAAAGGTTCCGGCAAGGATGGTGGTGGCAAGGGAGCTGGATCTGAGTGCCCTAGATGCCACGGTGTGCATCCTGAGTTGGAGGTCTGTGCAAACCAGACCGCCAGTAACGATCCTGCTGTGCGGGTTGGAGAGCTCGTTAGTTCGGGCATGAAGTGCTCCTATCATCACCTAGGAGCGACCAAAGAGTGTGGAGGTGCAGGCCATTTGGACAGGCACCACCGCAACACAGCTGGAGCAGACCCCAACGCTCCTCGCCCTTGGTCCTCCAAGAGTTCCACGCCCAAAGGGCTCAAAGGAAAAGCAAAAGGCGAAGGCAAGAAAGGAGATCGGAGGTTGGATTTCTCGGACAGCCACAGCCAGCCCTCTGACACACGCACACATGCGCAACGTTTGCTTGACAGCATAGCAGTGTGTAGCACAAGCCCAAAACCTTCCTCAAGGACTTTGTTGGATTTCGGCAATTGCGAAATTTCGGACGTTGATTCGGAATGTGAGTTGCCTGAAGAGCTTAAGGGTCACTGCCGCGAGCTTCTTGCTTCAATGGGCCCCCAAGTGACTAGTGACCACGTGTGTCCTTGCGCGCAAGCAGATCTGGATAGGCAGGAGGCTCCTCGCGGTGCACATTCCACTTGGATTCGGACGATTCCAGGTCGGCGGTGGCGGGAGTTCAGGCTGCAGTTCTATCAACGAGGACTCTTCTTGTGTCTTTCCTTGTTTCTTGGTGTCGTGGTGCTGTTGGTCAGCTTGGGCTTGTCCATACATTTTGATCCGGCCTTGCGGGCCAGTGCGACCCAGCACTTGTCCACCATGCGTCAGCGCGAGGGCTTCGGCAAGCTGACCCTGCCTCAAGGTTACCACTGTCGGGGGTTCGTGTGGCTTGGGAAGGCTCGGGTTGATACGCTTTTTGATACCGGTGCAACGAGAAACGCAGTCTCCAAGGACTTCTTGCGGGCAGTGCTGCAGTGTGAAGACACTGCTGAG